GTAATGCTAAATTTAAGCCTCTTAAGGTGACCCTGGTCAAAGAAGCCTTTAAACACACAGCTCTGTTAAATGGTAATCACTGTTTCTGGCTTCCCATAGGCAAATGTGCATCAAATACTAGGGCTTACAAAAATAAAAAATAAAAATCCACAAATATATTTAAATGTAAGCTGTCAGTTTACAGCAAGATGCAATAGTTATCTTTGTCCTTTCTTGCTCAGTGTTCCTAAAGAAACACAGGGCTGTTTACAGGACTGTTCCTGGCAGTCAGTGAGACTTTCTTGGATATGTATCAGTGTTTGTGCACCACCTTGGAAGAGTTTTGCTTTCTTTTTGTCCTTTTTATGAACATTTTGATGACATGAGAGACTAGCAACAGACTTGAGGGAGTAGCTTGCAAACCCTTGTGTTCCAGCGTAGTTTGAAAGCAACATTCTTCTATGGAGCATTAACTGAAATGACTGACATCAGAGGTTGTAAGTAGTGGATAATCTGCAGTCCAAAACCAGGGTAAAATTACTAAGCGTATATAGTTTGCACAGCTCAGTTCTGAGGCATGACTTTGTTTTTTGCAGGTAATGAGCCTCTCCCCTGCGCCTTTGTCACTGCTAATCAAGGCAGCTCCTATCCTCACAGAAGAGATGTATGGGGACATCCAGCCCGCAGCATGGGAACTCCTGCTCAGTGTGGATGAACACATGGCTGGAGCAGCAGGTAAGGGAATGAAATGAGTTAGTGTGGCTATCCCTGCTGCTCAACTAACTCACAGCAGATCACAGGGCTTTGCAAGTCTGCTTTGTAGTGGAGGAAGTCTTAATGACACTAAGGTTTTTAGGGAGGCTATGTAAGTTGTGAAAGACCTGCGTATATTTTTGTGCTCTGTACAAAACAGGTGATCAGAAGGATCAGGAAGACAATCTGTCAAGCTGTGATTGCAGTGGATGATTAGAGAATAAGCAAAACTGGTATTTGTGTTTTACTTTATAGGCAGAAGAAAAACAGTGATCTAATCTGTCCACAGAATTTATTGCATTTGGTATTTTGCTTCCTGGAAATTGTTAGTACCAGCTGAGGATTGATACAGAAACCGAGAAAGGGGGTGAGAGTGGAGCTGTCACAGTTCCTCTACTGTGCCGAAAGAAAAATTCTCATGTTGCAAGCAGACAGCAGCATTGCTCAGTGAACAATCTTGGTGTTTATCTTTAGTTTGCATTTTCACTTGGTACTAAATTGCGCAGATGATATTTGCTGATGAGACGTAGCTGGGAGGTATCTTTAAGAGAGAGGTGTATCAGTTGGCCAGAGGATGACTGTGAGTTACCAAGTGTAATTCAGCTATGGAAACAACGAATGTAGTCAGGATGTATCAGAAGATGGATTTCAATAGAGATATGAAGTATTAATACTGTTGTGCAACACATGATACAATTACCTGGAACACAGTACAGCCATGCACAATTCTTGTGATTAAAGAAGGAGACATTTGAATGGGACCAGTGCAGTGAGAGACCTTTAGGTCAGGAGGCAAAACGAAGAACCTGTATGAGGAGAATATTTATTTAATTGATTCAGATGAAGGATGAGAGGGGATATTGGTGAGAATATTTATTTAATTGATTCAGGTGAAGGATGAGAGGGGTACTGTTACACTTCGTAAATGCAGCAGAGCAGGAAGGAACAGACTCCAGACAAGGAGGAAGAATTATTTAAGCCATGGTGACATAAAGATAGTTGTGAACTCTCTGTGACTTCTTTGAGCTGGAAAACAGAAGGCTTCTAACCACCAGTAAAGAGAGCATCTGGAACAGCAAATATACTCAGGTTTTAGAGTTTGTGAAAGGGATTGGATGTGACTTAGGAGGCCCCTTCTAGTCTTAGGGTCCTGTCTTCTAAACACAAAGCCAGTGTGTGCTGATGACAAGTGTTCAGAAATCATGAGCCAGGCCCCTATAAATCATGACTGTGTCACACACACAAAACACAAATTACAACAAATTACAAAAAATTAAATAAAATACAAATTTAAGCAGTAGAGCAAGTTTGTTAGCCATTCTCCTGAGATTTTGGAAGGCTGCCTTTCTGTACACCTGCACCCAAACAAGTGGCTTAAGGACTGCCATCTTTCCCAGATTTGCGCATCTAAGGGAGTCACCACAGGAGTTTTTACAGGGGAGACTAAATTACAGGTATTTTTATCAAAAGCTGCTGAGAGTACAGGAGCTTCAAAATGCTCCTCTGACATCTCTTTCCTTTTCTTCGCACTCCAGTCTAGGTTACCAGTCTTTCATTTTCCCCTCATGGCAAAGAATTCTGCCTCAAGTCCATTATTTTGCTCTGCATCTCATCTTCGTCTGTTCTGCTTCCCATCTGCTCCACCAGGGCACTCCTTCAGCTCACAGTTCTCCTGTGCCCTCCCCTTCACCTTTGCCTTTCCCAGGCCAGACGTGCTGAAAGGGAGAGAGGAGCAAAATAAAGAGGGGAAACAAGCTGCCTTAAACTCCACTCCTTTCCCCCCTTCAAGGCCCTTTTAGGGGGAATGATTTTGGCTGCTACTCTTCTCCCTTATCCAAAATTTACTGTAGCTCACAGGGAAGGGAATAGAGCTTTACCATTCTCCCTGAGGAACTCTAGCTTACTATGGGATACATCTTCCTCCTTCTCCTCTTCCTGTGAAGGGAGCATTAAAAACCACTTAACGGTCTGGAGTAGCCTTTTAGTTGCAAGAGTGATTTCAGCCCCAACTTAAGTTGCATTCATCAAGAAGAAAGCCTGAAAACTAGCGATGGTGCTGTACCTGCCAGGATAAAAAGCCCTGCTGTGTTTTAGTGTCCAACAGCACCATCTACTGACTCCTTCCAGGGCTGTATTTCTTTTTGGGTAGTGAAGCCTCTCAGCAAGACTCACACTTTTAAATCAGACCTACTAAGATTCGACATAGTTGCACAGAAAACACTAAAGGGTAGAAAATTCTCTGAGCTGGTAAAACAGGAGGGCCCTTACAGGTTTGGAGCAGGATTTTGGGACAGAACTCAGAGCCTTTGGAGTGGAAAGCTGAACCTAAGCACTGAAAGAGCAGCCTTCTTGTTCTGTAGATGTTCAGACTACCCCCATCAGCATGGTTCTCATGCCTGGCACCTTCTGAGTAAGTGTAGAGGCAAACAAATGTCCTCTTTCTACTAGGGGTAAACAACTACATAATTTACAGAGATTATCTCCAGTAAGCTAACGGACTAAAAAAGTTATGCAGCCTCTGAACCCCCCCAACTCCCACACCACCACTATTCCCCCTGCTTTTGTTTCCTGTTCCTGCCCCACAGATACCCATCTAAATTAATTGGCCTCTGTGCATTTGGAGTTGGACTATATCTGTGTATATTCACATATGTTCAAATGAAACAACTATGGGCCAACTCAGCTTCTGTTGTGCTACTTTCCAACTTGATCTGGTCCTTTTTCTCCCAATTCATAGCAGCTCCGTTTTCTCTTGGAGGCAGACTGTGATTACAGCATGGTGTGCAGCTGGCTAAGAACCTTTTTGTTTTTACCTCATAAAAATAGTCAAGTGAGTCCTCTATTAGGGCACTGCCTCCTGCAATGAGGGGAAGGTTGAGCTTCTCTTGAGTCAACCTTTATTAATCATTACAGAAATCACTTTTAGAAGTGAATCCTTGAAAGACAAACAGTTTTGTTACTCCAAGAGATACTTATTTATGTCAGTCATGACTAAGATTTTAGTGAGAAGAACAAAGCTGTGTTTTATTTTAAAAGCAGGTTTCTCAGAACCTTTTACAAGCATCACATGTAATGCTGAGTGGCTCCCAAAGATAGAATCTCACTTACTTGGTTTCATGAAGCAGTGCAGCTTTCACCAGGCCTGGTAAAGTGCTGGTCTCATTTCTGGAGTCAAGATTTCTTTTTGGTGTGCAGGATTTGCACAGCTGCAATTTTTATCTGCCAAATAAATATATTAATAAGGAAAAACATGATCAGATGTCCTCTCCCTGCAGCTGCCATGTTCCTGCTGTGTGCTGTGAAAGTGCCGGAGGCTGTTTCTGACATGCTGATGTCTGAATTTCATCACCCAGAGACAGTGCAAAGACTGAACGCCATTCTCAAATTTCACACACTCTGGAGGTTTAGGTATCAAGTTTGGCCACGGATGGAAGAGGGAGCACAGCAGATCTTTAAGGTAGGTGAGATAAGTGAAACACATTGTTGCCATTTGTAGCTTGCCATGAGGGAAGGATGTGTTGTGACTTGCTGCCATGAAATTGTCTCAAAATCAGATTAGAAAAAAAATAGTCACGTAAACCACACGAGAGAGGAAGATGGTGTGTAGAACTCCTGCGTAAAATAGAGAGAGTCCAATGGGAATGCAGGTCAGGAAGAATATTGGAGAAAGACAGAAACCTGTGTTGTACATGGTCTTAAAATGTAGTGAGATACAGAGTTGGGATAATTTTGCAGAGCTAATTAATGTCTTGGGTACTTTTGCTCATGTTCAATTAGTAGTACAGTCATTAATATTGGTATGCTGTAACAAAATGTCTTTCACAAATTGCAGAAGAGCTATTGCTTGACAAGTTGGTGCTTTTCAGGCTGACTCAGCAGTGGTAGAATTCATTTCACAGAGATGGTTTACATTTTCTTTGATAAGAGCAGTGTTACGGGTAAATGGTTCATTTGCAGATGACTCTTGATAGAGGTTCTATAAATCCCAGATCACATACTGTTCTTTAACCTCATGCTGAATGGTGCTGTGGACATGTGCATGAGACTGAGAAACCATCATTTGAGTGGAGAAAATAACTTCCTCTTTCCACTCAAACTGCTCTATAAAAAAAACGTGTGGTGGGGGCAATTCCACGTTCATTTGTCAAAGTACTAGCAGAAGGAACAGAAGTCCCTGTTCTGCACTTAAATTTGCCGCCCAAATTATTTTTCTCCTTCCTCACTTTACTCACCTGTGTTTTTGTTTAGATCCCTCCTCCAAGTATAAACTTCACTTTGCCTTCCCCCGTCCTGGGGATGCCATCTGTACCAATGTTTGACCCCCCCTGGGTCCCTCAGTGCAGTGGGAGTGTGCAAGATCCTATCAACGAAGACCAGTCAGTAAGTAAAGGCGTTGTGAGAGTGAGCATTCTTATTTCCCAGTAAGGGCATGAGGAAAGCTTGAGCCAAAAGAGGTGGTCTAAACTCTGAATTTTTTTGTCTTCCTCAGCTGGGGAGGATTTAATCAGTACACTGTCGGTGCAGGGCACCCAGAATTTTCTACATGGCAATTCGACTTTTCAGTGTGTTCAACAAGAGACTGTACTGCATACATAACACAGCCCTATGAAAGACAGTTACTCAGGTCTTAGGAGCACACAATGGTTACCTCTGCAAAGGATTAGTTCACTGAACTTAGTGCCTGACAGACACAGTTTTCTCTGAGCTGGTTCACGTGGTATCTGTTCAGAGAAGACTGCACTGAGGCTTGTTGCAGACATAACTCCAAGAGGAGTCTCTGGTGAATCTCTGATCAGCTTGCACTTGCCTCATTTGTGTTTAGAAATGGGGTTGCTGAATGTCACTGAGGACTCTAGTGTGAAACCCAGGATATACGAGTCTTAACTAACTACTTCAAGCTGTGTTTCTTCTCTTTCCTTCCTGACAGAAGTCATTTTCAGCCAGAGCAGTGTCACGTTCCCATCAGCGAGCAGAGCACATCCTGAAGAACCTGCAGCAGGAGGAAGAAAAGAAACGCCTGGGCCGGGAAGCCAGTCTCATCACTGCCATCCCTATCACTCAGGAGGCCTGCTACGAGCCAACCTGCACACCAAGCTCAGAGCAGGAAGAAGAAGGTGTGCTGCAGGGCCAGGAACTCCCTTCTAGGAAAAGAGAGCACCTGCCACCAACATAGAGCATGGCTTAGGGGTGTGATGTCTGGGAGCAGCAATTGTTAGTGCTAGGGAAGTCCATACTTTGGTGTGCTCACCACTTCAGATCTTGCAGAAGCACCAGCACTGAATCATTTTTGTAGCTCTATAAAGGTGACATTCGTTGAAGAATCCAAATGAATAAGAACAAATATAATTAATAATCAGAGCAAGAAGAACACAAAAACTTGGAAATGCTGGGTGCTCACTGTGGTGCTGGGTGCTCCCCCCACTTTGAATTCAGTGGAAAGTGCTAGCTCTTTGCACCTCAAAGCTGCAAGCATCTTGCAAGATCAGATTTCAATATGATGAGAATAGGGGACACTAAGAGTGAAATTTGTCTCTCCTAACTTCCTAACCTTTTAATAGTCAAAAGGAAGGCTCCTTCCACAGCTGCTGCAGCAGGCAATGCATCCTGTCCTAAGATTGGTGGGAGGAATCACCCTTTGGAAGTACCTGTCTTAAGACACATAACTTAGGATAGGGTGAATTGACCCATGGAGTTTCCTCTCTTTATGGTGATTAGAGGGGAAGCCTAGGCACGGAACTTTTCAGATGGCCAAAGTTACGTGAGATGAATTGCTCCCTGCAAGTTTAGTCTTTAGGTGAGGATTCTCATCAGTTCAGGCTAATAGAGTGGAGAGAGTTCATTAAAAGCATTCCAAGGTATATGCCATTAGGTAAGTACAGTGGTGTCCAGATCTAGGCTCACCGAGGAAATTGGTGAGCAGAATAGCAGCTAAGTGGTACTTAAGAAAAAGTAAGCACCAGCAACCATGTTGGGTAATAGGATGTATATAAAGAGAAGTACAGAGCCAGCTCAGTTAAAATATGACTCACCAAAGTGCTGGACGCTCTTGTGGAACAATGCTCTGATAGTTCCCAGAGCAGGAGGAAATTACCTACCTGATCTTTACAGATCTGAAATTGTGCCTTTTGAGTGTTGCCTGACTTCAATGTTCCACTTTGGTTGTAAGTGCTCTCCCCTAGAAAGCCCTCTTGAGTCTGTCAGTTGGATCTAGATTGACATTTCCCACTCTCTTTGTCAGTAGAAGAAGTCGCCAACCTGGCCTCCCGCCGTCTCTCTGTGAGTCCTTCCTGCACCTCCAGTACATCTCATAGGAACTATTCTTTCCGCCGTGGCTCTGTCTGGTCAGTGCGGTCAGCAGTAAGTGCAGAAGGTGGGTTGACTTCACTTTGGAGTATCCTTTCCTAGGATTTCATTACCTGGAAACCTTTGCTGTTGACCAATGAAGTTGGAGGCCTTTGCTTTTTGCTGAATGTGTTCACAAGCTTGAGCCACTTCAAAGAAAACAACTGCC